ATAGATTTCACACTGAAATGAGTTTGGTAAATGCTCATGGGTGAAGTTTACATAGTCATAAATCTATTATTTGATAAGCAGACGCAATAATTGTAGGTCAGTCGTTTTTTTTCCAGCCTTATTCCCACCGAGGACAGAGTAAATCGAACCGTTGCTGCACGCGATTTTAATTGAGCTGTATGTTGTACAATGTTAACCAGTTTCTATTGTCCATCTATTACATTTCTCTTCTATTTCCAATCAGTTGCAGATTGAAAGAAATGTGCAATTTTGCGCTGAACCCCTCTGCTCACGTTCCCCCCTAAAAGGAAACCAATGGCGTGTGTTCGGTGAGACCTCCCTCTACATCCCATTAAACTGCGCCACAACAAATCAACCTTCCTCAGCCCTCATTTAAACAGAAAGCAGAAGCTAATTAACTCCATCTTTCCAGACAAGCCCCACTGTTTATTTAATGTCACACAACATTAGTATCATTCACACTTTCGTCTTACTGAGCAGAATTCTCTCGCCGTTACAAAGGATGTTTTATGAAACTCACCATCATAGTTGAGGCAGGGAACATGTGGCCAATGATTTTTTTTGTCGAAAGCTGCAAATACCTGAAATCTTTACTTAATTTCAATGGGAAGTAGTTTTGATAAAAGAGAACTGTAACTGAAGTCATTGGACAATAGTTTATCACTTAACTGGTTTCGGAATTTTCATGGACTCATCCAACGCAAAACAGTTAGAAAGTTTATGTTAATTGCTTTTCCAGATGGAAAGGTTTGAATTAAACATGTATGTTTATTGTTTGCAACAGATATAAGATAGCATCGCGAGAATAGGTTGCGTTAAGGTCAAGTTGGTTTCATACTTAAATTTGATTTAACTTAATGCTTACAGGATTGGCCGTTACATTTTGACCGATGAGTATTCTTACTGTACCAGTGGTCTAAAGACTCTCGAGGCCAGTATTTTTAAGTATCTGGCTTATTCATGTTTCTGGGAAGATGTTTATCATTGTAGCTGACCTTTGCTGAAAGAACAAATCCAAACAGACCAGGTCTATTTCCCTGATGGAACTCTCCCTGTGTTCCTTGAGCAGCAGTTTGTGGATTCAATTCTTCTATACATGTACAAGCTGAGAGTGTGTTAAACGGTCATTGCAGACAGTTTGTCCACTGTAGACTAAATCGTGAGGCGCTGCTAAGTAGTTTGCGCTCAGTAACTACCTGTGATTGTTTTCGTTGCTGATTGCATTATAAGTCGAGGACAAAAATAAAAGTAGGTTATATTTTCCTTCTAGACAGACAAACTAGCACTGGCTTAGAAGGATGATCCCCGTCCGAGATCTCCCAGGACGCTCGCAAACATTGTTTTTACAGGTGTTCAGAAGAATCACTAGAAGTGATTAAAGGTTTATTCTATTCCATGCTAATGGATTTGGTGAGGATTTAGATAACTTCAACAAACGGAATGAACTGAATTTGTTAAATGTTTAAACTTGGAGCCGCATTTTTAAAGAAATAGTTTTTTGAAAGAAAAATCTGGGACCTCTGCAAGAAATCCGAATCTTTCAAAGAGAAAGGAGGTGGCATTAGACTTAATTGAAGTGAAGGAAATGTGACATGATTGTTCAAACTACAAAGGAGCTAGAATGTTTGGAAGGAGTTTCATCAATGAGTTTTATAAATAAATCTACACAGGTGGGTCATGCAATAAAAAAAACTCTGACGGAGTGGATTTAAGCACAGATCCTTTGCTCAGGGGGGTAAATGCCAAATATTTAAGCCATCCATTTCCTGTTGTGTTTTTATAGCTCAACTGCTCTGTTTTGAGGAGTGCAAAATTTATTTGCCATTAACTCGATAGCTTGCTAACTTGAGGGTGGGGGGGGAAGCCTTTTTTTTAAAATCGAGTATTTCATTGGAACAATAAGCCTGAAAGTACCGTTTGAAATTTACATTTTGATTGTAGACATTGGTCTCTGATGGAGGAGACGATGCTGGAAGACAGACAATGACTTTACTAAATAAAAACAACGCGTGATTAAATGTGTCTAGAGGGCGCCGGTTTAGCGGGCAGAGGTGTGCGTTTTATTGAGTACATCTTATGCGAGACTTTAACATTTCGTTTGCTATTGACCAAATTAAGATGATTATTTAACACCAGGCTCTTTTTAAGAGATAAATTATTCGGCATTAACGACTGAAGAAGTGATGTTTATCTATTGGATTCTGTACTAGAAATAATCGAACTCCTCGCAGTATCTCTTAAGACTTTTTGAAATGCTACCTATCGAGTGTAAACCAAGGCGCAGGAGGTTTTTTTTGTTGAACCCGAAAAGACAATTAATAGAATACTCTAGTTGCTGTTTGCAGTATTATTTAATTTCCAGTATCTAAAAATTTAAAGTGGACACCATGAACCGGACCCATACTGGGACACTTTTCAATATCGAACTTTCAACAACAGGAAAAAAAGTCTGGAGTAAGTCATCTCGATTTAGAAGCAGATAGAATAGACCAGTTTAGAATAACGACTTGCACCACATGCCTCCCAAAAGCTAATGCCATTATTTCTCTGCAATTGGATTGGCTTTAGTTTTTAGATTCTAGGAAAGCAGTACATTTAAATCGTAGTTGGAGTATCCCCGTGCTTTTGTTCTAAACAGGGATGGGAGTCAGCAGTTTAGGAGTAGACAGAAAGAACTTGCATTGATATAGCGTATTTCCCGACCTCAGGTTGTCTCGCAGCACTTCATAACCAATGGGATACCTTGACGTGTGTTCACTCTTAGAGTTCAGGGAATTTAGATGGTCAGGCACACCTAATCATATCACACACGTCTCAACCACTCATGTCAGTGAAGTGTATTTGGAAACTAACTGCACTGCAGTTTGTACGGGCGAACGATTTCTGTGATTTACGGTAGATCCTGACTCGGAGAGAGGGTTAAGGATCGGTTCCGGTCCCCAAACAGCTGCCTTGTCAATAAGGATCTGCCACAAGTGGAGACATCCCTGCTGTCAGGACCCAGCCCTGCTCCCTAACCCTATCTCCCACCTCCTAGGCTCTAAAATAAGGAAAGAAAAGCAGCCACTGAGCCACATAGCAGGGCAATGGCTTTTCCCTTCTAATTTTGTATCTGATGAAATCAACAATTCTAAATAAAGACACGTATCTGACAGTTCACTGCTTAATCCCTTTATCAGTCAAGCTCTCCTCTACCATTCGACGCTCCCGAATAGTTTTGATTACCATCGCAGATAAAGAAGTGTAACCGCTTCGGTGTTCTTCCAATTAATTGTTAAAGACTGGCGTTTAAAAATAGCTTTAGGTAATTAACACTGCCAGCTGTTTCCATTGTCATTTCACGAAAACTAACCAGTCAATCTGATAACAAATGTACAGTATTAGTTCTGGCTAAAAAGTGGATGGCTTTACCTCTGAGATATCGGCACCCTTTGCCCCCAGCCCTCTTAAGTTAGGGCTGAAATAAGTTTCTGCTGTAATATTTCTGCTTCTGAGGTTTTTAATTTTGTAAATAATTGGCACAAATTGAGTGCTTGGATTGGATATCATAAACCAGGAGCAAATATATAGAAATCACATTTCTGAGAGAGGAAATAAAATATTAAAAACCTTGTTTTTGATTGATGACATGTTCATGTTCATTACTTTGGCGATGATTAAACCAAGCCTTCATCACGTCATGAACTTTATGGCTAACAAGGAGACTGAAACACGGAAAATGGCATCACCCCACAGTTACTGCGATCTGGCCCGCTTTAATCTCACTGTTTCGGTACAGCCTACCTAAGGTCTGGGTCACGTTTGCTCGGAGATCCTGCCCCATATCCGATAGTGCAGAATTCAATCGGTACAAATAGCGACGGCACCAACTCCATTTCATGGTAGTAGATACAGAGTGCATAGACCCACCAGAATTAGTGGATATATTAATGTAAAACACGCACCGCCCTCCCTTGCCCTATACATCAGACACAGGCCATAGAGGTTCTTTAGTATTTCTCCATCACATAATTTCAAACCGTAATAAAAGTATCCGAATGACAAGATTGATTGGTTTGTGCAATGCAGAAACCAAAGTGTCGAGGGTTGTAAACCTCTGCAGAAGGGGCAATGAGAGGGACCAGGCCCACGTTTCTCTAAATGTCCTATTTCTTCTCGTTCCTGAACGGCAAATCAGATTACGAGGCATCAGTTTAAAAAAAATCATCCGTGTTTTGAAATGAAAATGGTCGTTATTTTAAAAAGCGCACGTCCAACTGATTAAAAAGAGCGTTTTAATTATTTTATGAAAAGCAATTTAAATTGGTATTTTTGTTTTATTCAGTGACGTTATCCCCTGTGCAGAATAACTGTTAGGAATGGCTACCATTTGTAACCGAGTATACAAGCTGGTTTAATTTCAGAGGCTGTATTCCTCGGTTTGGTGTATGTTAAAGCTTCAGTCAGAGGTCGTGTTTATACAGTTTTCAAGCTCAACTCAGTACTATTCACTACCTAAAGCAAAACACCAGAAAGCAGATGTGCTGCCACAGATCAGCTGCCGTTACCTTTGCAGACGATTTTTCTAAAAGGAAATAATAGATATTTTGGGAAATGACAATGCAAGTGTAACGCTTCAATCACGTTCCCCATGACAATAAGCTGTTGTAAAATAATGAGCATTTTTTTTAAAAAAAAAGGACGATCAGTTACAAATAATAATTGCTGGTTGTAAACTGTGGCTTAGGTTGGGACGATGAAGTTTGCATATTGAGTGACTCCTCCAAAAAATGTAAATAGGAGGTTGATTCCTGAGAGGAATATATTGAGCTCTTCAAACCAAGCCGAAAGGTAATTGATTTGTAATGTGAAGGCGACCAATCCCGCAGGTGACATTTGAGAAGCTCTCGGGTTTCAGATCCTGACGTGTTTTCCAGAGTCCTTCATTTAGGAACACTTTGCTCTTGTCTTTTGCAATGGTAGGAGGGAAGTGCAGCCAATCAGCAGCCGGTCATCACTATTAATGCGCACTTACCAGGATGGGAACAGTATACTGCAGGCAGCCCCTATCAGGAGCGCCTCAGACTATCAGCCGCTGGATATCGGCGACTTCTCTCTGGATCTGTTAACCCCTCCTGGCTTCCGCGATCTTTGTTGTTTTCTTTGCTTTTGGCGATCAGATAGTGGATACTACACCCTGACTTGCGAGTGAGCCATGTCAGTGCTGCCTTCTTTCGGTTTTACTCAAGAACAAGTAGCGTGTGTCTGCGAGGTGCTCCAGCAAGGAGGCAACTTAGAGAGGCTGGGCAGGTTCCTCTGGTCTCTCCCAGCGTGTGACCACCTCCACAAGAACGAGAGCGTCCTCAAAGCCAAGGCGGTGGTGGCGTTCCACCGGGGCAACTTCCGTGAACTTTACAAGATTCTCGAGAGCCATCAGTTCTCTCCTCACAACCACTCCAAACTGCAGCAGCTCTGGTTAAAGGCCCATTATATTGAAGCCGAGAAGCTGCGCGGGAGGCCCCTCGGCGCTGTGGGCAAGTACAGGGTCCGCAGGAAATTCCCGCTGCCCCGCACGATTTGGGACGGGGAAGAAACCAGTTACTGCTTTAAGGAGAAGTCGAGGGGTGTCTTGAGGGAGTGGTACGCTCACAATCCTTACCCGTCTCCGAGAGAAAAGCGGGAGCTGGCTGAAGCCACCGGACTCACTACCACTCAGGTCAGCAACTGGTTTAAAAACAGGAGGCAGAGAGACCGAGCGGCCGAGGCCAAGGAGAGGTAAGGGTCTCTAACCCCTTTAACCGCGGTGGGTGGGGAACAGTCGGGGACAACTGTGTCGAAACGCGGATTGACTCGCGGGAGGCTTCCTCTCGGTGTAACTAGGAATAAAACCAACTCCCTATCTGTTCATTCACTCAGTTTCCCAGAGTCTCACTCAGGAGCGCCTTTCCCCGTGTCGTTCACTTCACATCTTAACTGTGGCCACGGAGCACCAACATATATTTCCTAGAGTTGCATTATATTTCGTTACTGTGATACTGTAATGAATAATTAAAGTTTAAAGATTATTGGCATGATACTTAGACGATAAACTTGTGCCACGAATTGTTTTGATATTCGGGGTTCTGTATTTAATCTGTAGCAATGCAAACTTTTCTAAAAAAAACGTCTGATGCATATGGTTGTTTTAATTTACAAACAGTCCCGGACAGAAAATATTAGATTGGAAATTAAAATGTCGAAATCAATCGAAGGATTTTAATTCTTAATGTCAGGAATGTTATGTACAAAAAGACGAGGCACAGCAGCGGCCTGCACACCGTTTTGCCCTTGTCCTTGTATTAGCCTTACCTGGAGGTGTAATCAATTCTTGGATACAAATCAGATAATACTCAACTCCTGAGCCATCTATTCACTTCTACTACCAACTAATGCCAAGTGAAGTTGAACAATTGTTATGTTGTGTTTGAAAACAAAAAAAATGATGCGTTTTATTCGCGTCATTCCTTGGTCACGGGTTTTCGGTTTTAAGTCTATATTGCTATTTTAAAAAAAGTCATTGAAATTGATATTAATAATTATCACTTCTTCCGTTACTGTTTTTCGAGCAAATCCTCCAGTAATGAAGGAACAGACCCCACCGTAACAAATACAAAGCAAGTATGAGACTGACTGCACAGGTCATCCCGTTTGTCCCTATCACAGATTCTCGTTCACGTCAACCTGTGAAATGGACTGGCCGTTCGCTTAGAGAGTACAGTCTCAGCCCAGTTCTACATTATAAATATTTAAGTCGGAATTAATGAAATGTTTGCTTGGAGTAAGCTAACGCTCGCTATAAGCATTCATTTCACATTGTCACAGTGCGGGGAACCATTTCATGATCAGTAGGGAGGCACTCATTAAGTATCGAGAATAAGTGAGGTTTCTAGCTTGGATATGTTTTCCAACCATCATTTATTTTGCGTTCTTACTATGTTTGCTGTTCCAATAGGGAAAACACTGAAAACACAAACACCTCTGGCAATAAACAAAACCAGTTGTCCCCTATCAACCGTAGTAAAAACCTGATGTCGAGTTCCGACGAGGAGTTGTCACCGCCCCAGAGCCCAGATCATTGCTCCGGGAGTCCTGTCTTACTGCTGCCAGGGAGCGTGAATCAATCCGTGGATTCCACCTTCTCTCTTCACGGCCTGAGCTCGTCACCAGGCGGCCACGCTGGCCCAGTCCATCCGCATGGACTCCAGGACTCACTGCTCGGCACTCTCACATCCAGCCTAGTCGACCTGGGATCGTAAAAGAACAAATCATCACTGGACAGCCGAACGGTGAACTGATCAGATACTCCGGTGCTGTGCCCTGTAAATAATTGAACAGTCCTGTCCATGTTTTGGAATTTCAACTGATGGTACTTAATCTATGAAAGAAAAAGCGAGACCGCTCTCGTTCATTAGAGGAAAACAAAACGCCTTCATGAACTGCTGAGAGGCTTCATTTCTCACTTAATGCTCTTCAAACCTTTATACTCTCCCCACTGCACAAAATGCGTTGCAAATTCAGCGATTGGCGGGCTGATACTTTTTCTGTCAGATTCGTTAATCTGTCAGAATCAACCTGGATTTATCTCTCGTTTTCCATCTGTTTGCGTTCCTTGAAATTTACTGATCGCGAATCTGAAGTGAGGCATCGAGTAGGACGAACCGTCTATAACTGAGGTAATTGCAGAGAGAAAGAACAACTCCACAGAGTATCAGGCAGAGTGCAGGCACAGAGGCGACTCGAAGTTTACATTATCACCAGTGGTGTATAGAGAGTAACATGGAAGTAGTTTATAATAAAATCCAAACATGTGAAAAGCACGTGCTTATGTTGTCTCCTTTTCACATTTTGAAAAAAAATCTATTTAACAGATGGTTTATTTAAGAAAATGGCGATGGAAATTGTTATTGGATGAGGCTTTCTGAAGCTCCCCAGTTCAGGTGAAACTCGGCAATATTAATGTGCTCTTATATTATCAATATTTAAGTCAAGGACAACAAAACAACGCCCAGAAATTACTCCCTACTGTCTCACCTGACATCCACAAATTTCCCTCTGTTATATCACGGCGAGTAACCGTTACATTATGGGAGCAAAGTAATTATATGACTCTGAATTTTCCTCTTCAATTCCAGATAAGCAAGTCTTGAGCCTGTATCAAGTCGGGAATCCATTTCGTTGGGACATAAGGAGCAAAGATTCGGCTTTTTCCGAGTCCGCTTTCTGAGAGGGATTTTTGTTTTTGTTTTGAACTTATTCGCCAGAAAATGCAAGTCGCCACCCCTTTCCAAATATATTGTGTTCAGTCTTCTGAATATTTTCTCTCCGATAGTCTGCTTTACAAATAATAGAAAAGGTGAAAACATAACCGAAGCCCCGAAATCTTGTCATTCTGTTCAATTCCCGCCTCGGCCCCAAACGGGATATTTCTCCCAAACGTTAAAGTTGGGCCCTAGCCTGTCAGTTCGGTCTGCCATGAGTTTTGGAGAGGTGTAGCGATTATATTATCTATCATATTCGTAACCGAAGAGGAATCATTCATAGCTGTGCAACAGTTTTATGTTGAAATAATCACCAGTTCAACCGGTAGGTCATTTTAAAATTTCTGTCACCCACTTCCACTGTTCCGGCTCCCACGTTTCCTTGCACCCTCTTTACATGTAGTGTTGTGGAGTAAAATGCTACAGAAACAAATAATTCACCAACTTCCAATAAGATGCAAGGAAAATCGATAAACTTAAATAAAATGATCTATATATTTAGAACAATGACAAGGACTCATTAGAAGGTTCCCCATTGCTTTATTCGAGTGTCGTGTTGCTAATATCCTTTGAGAGTATATGGTTCTGGTTTACTGAAGATTGCAGAATGTTTATTCTATAGGTTTCGGGCCATGGAGATCTCACCCCCTCTGGAGGACAGACTCTCACTCGGGATTAACTCAGTTTATGCAAAATTCTTGTGTAAAATATACATTCGTCTCGCAAGGGTGACTTTAGTGAAGTCGCCCTAATTGTTACTTAGGATCGAAAGAGAATGTTAACTTAGGTTGGGCTACACGTAAGAGACCAGCATAGTTACAACGCGTAATTTCTCTTTGGCCTTCTCCGATTGTTGGTGATGCAATTAAAACAGACGGCGGCGTGAAGAGCTACTGTGATCAACAGCCATCACTTCCCAGAAGATATTGGCGGAATGGCAACTTTATGATAACTTTAGTAAGGGGCGGGGCGTTAGTAGATGACTGAAGCAACGACAAAATAGATCTTTACAAAGGTTTTAAACAGTTTTTCAATATTTACAAGCTTGTTTTATTTAACAAGCTTTGAAGAAACCGTCATAATAGGCAGAGCATAGCTACTACTCCCAGCGGTGCCAACATATTTCTGTTTGTCCCTAGCTTCGATGTCGTGGTTTTCCCTTTTAAGAATACAAGAAAATTTGTTTTTGAAGAGATTTGCTTTCATTATTTTTTTCACTGGCCTAGTTAAAAGATATGCGTTGGGTTTTAATATGAATATCATGGTATGATCAAATTAGTTAAAGCAGGCCAAGAAGGTGGTGAAGCTAATTCAGGAGTCCATTGCAGACCGTCTACATCAAATGGATCTTTCAATACTGAAGATCTTTACCTTTACTTTTCATACAGGTTGTGCTTAAGTATCTTTCACTGCAAGTGTAAAGAAATTGTAGCATCACGATGGCTTGCTCCTAAGTGACTTTGATCTTGTTACACTTGGGGCGTTTTATTGTCAGTAATCCTGAAATAGCAGCTCAAACAGTAAGCACCCCATACCCCAATGGCCACGAAAGACATTCGGTTTTGGTCGAGTTTTCTTCTAAATGTAAAATAAACACACGACTGGCCTCCAGACACTCTTCGCTGGAAACTAAAAAGGCCTTCTATGAGATGAGGGTAATTGTTTTGAACAGCTCGAGTTTGGAGAGAACTGAGGATTTCCTGGAGTTAATGTGAACCAGCCGCTGGCTGCACTGCGCCTGTTGAATGTGGAGCAGATTTTGGCAAATATTACAGGGATTCAATTCAGTCTTTTGTGTTTTTAGAAGCACCTCAGCGCTGATTTCAAATTTGTTTTCTTTACATTTTAAGCGTGCTCACAAAAATGAGGTTCTTTATTTAAATCCGCAAACAGTGCTTATATTTATAGTATAGCCCCAAAGTCGCGTCCTTCCGCAGGAGTAATTAGCATGTTGCAGCTAATTGAATTTTGTTTTTCAAAAACCTAATTTCTATTCTATGGCCCATCCCTGAATGTAACGGGGCAGGCTTAATTCTTTGGTCGCAATCACTCACATTTGACAATTTTTATAAATTATTTCGCTCAGCTAGACGATTGGCTTGCATCATACATGGCTATGGTTTGAATGATCAGAAATGCAAAAATGGCTGTTTGAAATGCAAAATAGTGCCAACACTGAATGATAAAGTATGCCTGTAGAAAACATGTTTGAAGGAAACGTGTTTGATTAATGCAGATGCGTTTTGTAAAGCCCATGTCAAAATATGGCTGTCATCGAACCGCAATTTTTAAGATCCGGTTGAAAATTGCGGGGAAAGTCCGCTGGGAAATAGACAACAGTATCTGATAGACGTCAAACCAACCTCCAGCCCAGTGTATAAAGCAGCTTTGGATTACCTATTGCGTGAAATGGTGACAAAATTTCACTGTCAGTAAGGAGGACATAGAACAGCGAGGGAGTATGTTCAACTAGCAAATGCAGTAAAGGTGACATCGGAAATAATATCTGTTAACTTCCGACATAGTTGAGAGGTAAACAGTTTTCTTGAGTTGAATGCTATTTGGAAGTCATAACTGTTTTGAAACATTTATACAAATGCTTTACAAAACTTAAGGGAACATGAACAAAAGTGAAGGCTATTCCTTCAGGTATGCTCATCTTTATCGATACATGAAATGTGGATTATTGTCAGGCCACTGCAGGCTGTCCTCCATTGCACATAAATATGCAAGTCACTGCTATGGCACAAAGAGCAGATTGCTGGTTGGCCTAGCATGGAAAACAGGAGCTACCATCGGTTTCGGAACAATCGAAACCTTGTTTGTCTTATTTTGCTGTTTTACCAATTGATTTCCTGCAATCGTGCCTATTCGTGGTTTGGTATTGGGATGTCCTGTGTGCATTACCTGCACTGAATTCCAACAGTCTCCTACCAAGATTTTAAACTTGACTCGCCAAGGTTTCGTTTTTCCAGAGGACCCTCAGATCAACTGAGTGCAGGCTTTGGGCCTGGTCGCTAATATCAGACTGAACTAGTTGATGTTTTTTATGTGAAGTTTTTTTACTGTTCGAATGCAGTGTCTGAGAGCTCCTTGAGGCCTCGTCAGCTCTTACAGCCATTTTCAATGTGTCTTTTGACTGTGTTAATTCCTCCGTCCCGTCACAATGTTTCTGTCCTGTTTGTGATTTCTCTCTCTATTTATATAACACCTTAGTATTTTTGGCCAGGTTTGTCATTTTTGTAGCGTTTGAACCATGCCTAGAGAACTTCTTGCATGGCAGCTTGATAACGGGGAAACGGGGAACAGCGACATTTCAGATATTTCTGCCACGTGGTTGAGCAGTATTCTGCTGCAATGAGTGTTTGAACAAAATCTTCAAGGCGCAAAAGTTGTGTGCAATACGATTAATGAATGAGAACGCAGAAATGACAAATTAGGTAAAACGAACGTAGACTATTAACCAGTGAGGAATAAAACTGACACTTAGAGAATGGACAGATGACTCGGACTGACAATAATACAAAGGTGTTTTATTCAACAATTAATCACATTGTCTTCATCTTGGTTTTGCAAATACAAAAAAAATGCATCAGTATCATTAAACCAGACATTTAATTAGAAGTTTTAATGAATGCGAGCTGACGGTACACGCAGTGTTCACGTGATTGAGCAAGCAGCCAGTGTTGAAACACCGAGGAGAAAGGCAACGAGTTCTCGTAAACCAGGAGACGGGGTATTTCTTACAAAGTCAACGGTTTGGTTTTCGTTGCATAATTAAATAATGGACGGTCCTTTAACGGGTTGAGGTGGACATGCTATAGCATACTCACTGCTCAGAAACTGTACTTATTTGAAATGAAAGGCGGGGAACAGAATGTTTGATGATCCTCAGATACGAGCGGTTCGCATCCCATACAGAGTTTGAGAGGCATCGTCCTCATCTGATGGAAAAAGTAACAGCAGAAACATTCATAAAAAGAATTTTAAAAAGCAAGACGTTGTTTGTATTGAATGAAATGTTTTGTTGTTACTGATGGTAAAAAGTATTTCAAGGCAGGAAAAGGGGCAGTCAAAACAACGGTGTTGAAGGGGTGATTTCTGATTTATGTTTCATAAGTAGATTCACTAAATCACAGCCACAAAAACCACCAAGGTCACCCAGCCTGTTGGGATACCTGCATTACTGTTTAGTTGCCTGGTTATCCCCGAACGATCTTGGCTGCTTATAGAGGCGTTTTATTTGAACAAATGCTCGGTTAAACGGGCAAATAATCGCTGCGGATCAACAATGAACTTCCCTAATTCCGCCGCTGCAGTTACAATCCAACAATAAAACAACAAGCTGCTCCGAAAGTAGCGATGTTCCTTCCTGTATCAGTAACGGATGAGTGCCATGTCCACAACAGTTATTTCTATCTACCCTTGGCACCAGTCGGTTGAAGATACAGTGTCACCACATGCCACCCAACGCAATCGACCGATTTAGGTGGGAATCACTGCAGAGCTCTGGCAAGCAGAGCGATCGCTTGAAGGTTAGGGCAGAAGACC